CTGCAGACGCAGTGGACACCAGTCAGGCAGGCAGCACACACACGCACGTAGTCACAGGACTGCGAGCTGCTCATGGATTTGCGATTCCAGGCCTGTCGTGCTGCACCACTTGAAGGGTGCTTGCTTAGCACTGCAGGAAAGATGCCGCATTTACGAGAATGACATGCAGGAGATGCAGGAGAGACTCAACGACACCGAGGTGCGCACACTTGCCACGGATCGTACCAGACCGTGGCGCCCTGGCAGGGCCACTTGCTGCAGGGTTTAGCGGTTTAGGGGTTTGGCGGTTTCGGGATTCAGGGGTTTAGGGTTTAGAGGTTTAGGGTTGAGGGCTTTGGGTTTAGAGGTTTGGGGGTTTAGGGTTTATGGCTGGAAATGGGTAGGAGAATCCAAATCCTAATCCCTAAGTCCTAAACCTTTAACTAACCCTAAGCCAAGTCCGCCTCAGGGACCCCCGAGACAGCGAAAGCCCGGAGCCGTCAGCTCCCCTTGAAGGGACCCATATCGATCCCTTAAACGGAAACAAGAAGCCGATGTCATGATTAAGGGTGTTTCGGGGTTAGGGAACTAGGGGGGGGAAGCTTGTATACTATAAGTGCAGAGGTTACAAAACCCTATGAAGCCCGCCACATCACATGAAAGCTCATGTGAGGAATGTTTCGGGGCACCTGTAGAAGTCAAGAGACCCGACAGCACTCTTCCCGAGGACAGGAGAATATACCAAAGCTTCAGACACAGACGTAGGGTTTCGGGGTTTCCGAGTTTAGATGTTTAGGACCAAGTAGCCATCTTTTCGGTATTGGCGATAACCAAAACCCCAAACCCTAAACCCTGAGCCCTAAGCCCTAAACCCTAAACCCTAAGCCCTAAACCCTAAACCCTAAACCATAAACCCTAAACCCGAAACCTCAAACCCTAAACCGTAAACCCTAAACCCTACACCCTAAACTCTAAACCCTAAACTACCCCTAAAGGTTCTATGACTAAGCAGGAGCTGGGCGTGGTCCCAGCTGGCTATGCAGACGTCCAAGTAGACCTGGCCGGCTTGGCTGCAATGGACTTTGAGACCCCCTAGACCCTAAACCCTAAACCCCTAAACCCTGAACCCCAAAACCCCTAAGCCCTAAACCCTAAATCCCCCCCAAAACAAGCGCCTGAAGAGAACTCGCAGGCTTGAGGGTCCCGATGTTGTGGTTTGGCGTTTAGGGTTTAGGGTTGAGGGCTTAGGGTTTGGGGTTTAGGGTGACTTTTCAGATCTTGGGATATCTGCTTTATCTTAAGGGGTCATCTCTTGGGGAACCTTGGGGTTTCCGAGTTTGGGTTTGGGTCGTCAGCTCAAGGGTCGGGGGTTGAAAACGTAGGGTTTGGGAGTGCGGAGTGGGGTAGACCCTAGACCCTAAACCCTAGGGGGCTAGGAGTTTGGAGTTATAGGAGCCTTATAGAAGGTCTATATACCTTATAGAAGCCTTATAGCAACCCGATATACCCGAAACTCCCCACCTGTAGTTTCCTTTAACTAAGAGGTAGGAGGTCGGTGCTACAAAATCTGCCGCCTGGATGCGGTGTTTGATCACAGGAAACCATCCCATTGATTGCTAGATTTAATATGATCGTGCCGGAAACATAGGTTCTGGCGTGTCGAGGTATGTGCTTCAGGTGCAGGCCCTAAACCCTAAAAACCCTAAGCCCCAACAACCCCGAACTCAAGGTCAGAGCGAAGGGGCTTAGGAGCTGAGCTTAAGGGCCCCGTAAGGTTTTGGGATTCTGTCGGATTGAGGGATTACTCCAGGGTCGGAATAAGTAGTAATGCTATTCCTTTCGGAACCTTATTCAGATTATACCACAACGTACTGTTCTAAGTACTACGTCACCGGAAAAAGATGTAATCGTAAACTCCACCCAGGGCTCTAAGTGCTCAAGATTCTAAACCCTAGACCCTATAGACCCTAAACCCTTCAAACAGCGCGTAAGGACCCTCAATCCTCCTAAACCCTAAACCCTGAACCCTGAACTCTATAAACCGTAAACCCTAAACCCTATACCCTAAAACCCTAAACCCTAAACCCTAAACCGCCCAGGTCGTGCGCATCACCGGCGGCCGCCTGGCCCTGATCGAGGAGGAGCAGATCCTGGATGATGGCGACGCAGCCGCGATTTTTTTCAGGGTTCAAGCTGCATATAAGGGTTTTTGGGTTCTAGGGTTTTAGGGTTCTAGGCTTTTAGGGTTTTAGGGTTTTGGGGTTTTGTAGGGTTTTGTAGGGTTTTGTAGGGTTTTGTAGGGTTTTAGGGTTTTAGGGTTTTAGGGTTGTAGGGTTCTAGGGTTTTAGGGTTTTTAGGGTTTTAGAGTTCTAGGGTTCTAGGGTTTTAGGGTTTTAGGGTTCTAGGGTTCCAGGGTTTTAGGGTTCTAGGGTTCTAGGGTTCTAGGGTTTAGGGTTCTAGGGTTGTAGGGTTTTAGGGTTTGCCAACTGAAGCGCCGCGCCTCGACCCAAGGGGGTCGTCCACGGCGCGTCGCGCGAAAGCTAAAACCCCACCCCAAGGCCACCCTGTTCCTTTCACATCGGGTTTTTGGTTTTTGTTTATGCAAATATCGATGCAACATCATTC